GGAAGGTGAGCATCATAGAATGCCAATTTAATAGAAGAAAGTATTCTTGCGTTGAGTGGAGGCCCAATGTCCTGAAGGGAAAAATTCTTGTGATAGTATCCAGAATTCACCCCCCCTTTCATTTGCACACAACAACAGGCTCAACTCCCACAGACAAACAGGGTGACATACACACACATGCACCAGGCATGCATGTATACACACGTGTACAAGCATAAACATGCACATCACACATCTTCTCAGCATGTGCACTCATGGAAGTACACTCAGCTCCAAGGGTCCATGTACAACTTATGCTCTCTGCTCCTCTCCATTCTCAGACCCATTCGGAAACGAGGCTACCCCAGCCCTCAAGTTCAGATCCCATCCACCCTATCCGTAGTTCCTGCATGCCTCTCTGATACTTCCTGGACTTCTATCTACACTGTGAGCTTAAGTCACTGGGAGCTGCTATGGGATAAGCCACCCAAAGGTGCTCAGTAGGGACATGGCTCCACTACAGGCATCTCCCAGGCACGTTTTCAGAAGCAGAGAACAAACTGTGAAGCCTGAAGGCCTTGAAGGCCTGTGCAGACGAAGCTGCAGGGACAAAGTGATAATTGCCCCGGCCATGTCCAGTATACATCCAACTCCAGGACCCCTCTGGCTGTGCCTACTGTAAGGAACGCAACACCTATTCCAGAGAACCCTCTAGTTATAGGCAGTTCCCCATGGAGCCCACCTATTCAACCCTAGGCACTACTCAAGCTCCAAGCCCCAGACCAGTGCTACCAGCCACTGGCAGTGAGGGCACACAGCCTGGGCTGGAAGGAGCTGGTGGAAAGGGAGGAGAAGAGAGCAGGGGCTCACAGTGCCCTGTTCTCTGAAGACTGTCTCACACGACAGTGTTGCCTCCACCTCCCTCCAAGAGACCCACCACACCACAGAGACCACTCTTCCCCCATCGTCTGAGGCTGTCCCATGTTTATCTAACTGCCTATCAGACGCAGGTCTTAAGTACCTGTACCTATGATGCAGTGACATACCACCAAGGAGGGTCCTGTCATCCTCACACCCAGGCCTCCCCAGAAGAGTTCTTTGGCTTGCTCTTCATGGAGAGTTCCTGCTGGGCACAGAGTAAAATGATATAGATAGCCCATTTATGACCACTGCAGGGCAGGGAGAACCATCTTTAAAATACTGAAAAATCTTGTTACTAAAGGAAGACAAAGGAAAGTGTACCAGTGGCTAAGCTTACTGAATTCTCTGTTGGTGCCAGGCCCTGTGCCAAGCACTCGACATGCCTGATTTCATTTAATCTTTAAAACCACCAAGGTATACTACCCACACTCCACACAATACCTCCATTAGTACTATGACCTGTACCTCACAGTAAATATTTCCAATACTATTAGTTCCTGCACCTCACACGACGAAGCAACTCCATTATTATTAATTAGTACCGGCACCTCATATGAGATACCTCCATTGCTTAGTACCTGCACTTCATACAAGGAACCTCCATTACTACTAATACCTGCACCTCACATGCGGTACCTCTACTACTATTACTGCCTGCACCTCATGCCAAGACACCTCCATTACTACCCACACCTCATGCATGGTAGCACCATTCCTTATTAATCACAGCCTACAGATGAGACCAATGAAGCTTCCCCAATGCCACATAGCTTAACAAGATGTCAAATGGAAATCCAGCCCAGGTCAGCTGGTTTCCCAGGCCCAGTCAAACCCAAACCATCAGGGCAGTGTCCCCAAGACCATCCTATATTTGAATTCATCTCCTAGTTCAGAGAAAACTTATAGGACAAAAAAGGATCAGTACAGATAGCAATTCCTTAAGGAGGAATGAATACTAGCCCATACACCAGTCCCCACCGTTCAATGGCTCAGCACACATCCCTTTTGTAAAAGGCGATGACCTATCTCTGTTGACCAAGTCCTTGTTTCTGAGCCCCTAGGGCCAATTTACAAGCCAAGGAAAGGGACTTATCTGGTCTGCATCATAAACCAGGACCAACTTTCTTCATTCTGACAAAGACACATACATTCTAACCACACTTCATTCAGTAACTGAGTCTCCCAGAACACATGAAGGCTACCTACCCCTTTTCTCTTACTCAATATTGAGCACGTAGACAGCAAGCAACAAAGCAGACCAAAACCAAAGGAGAGGAGAGCCAGGACCCACAGATGCCAGGAGAGACTCAACCAGGGCATTTCTGGTGCCACGACTCTGTCACCAACATCAGGACTTAGATAAGGTCTTGATTATCACTAGCCAGATGCCACTCATTGACCTAAGCCATGTTTTTCAAGGTGCCAAATTACAGGATGTTGTTCCTTCCATGGAGCCCTCCTCACTCTCAAAACCAATTTCCCAGTGGTACACCCATGTGTCTTCTCCCCAATCCACCAAGTCAAGACATTTGAACAATGCATGAAACAAAGAAGCCTTCCAAAGCCAGAAAACAGCAGCTGTTGGAATAATTCATTTGTGATATTTCAAAAAAGTGTCTTAATGGTTCTGGTACTTTGGGGGGAAAGTTTCCGAAACACCTAGCCAAAAAATCCTCAGAATCTAGAAAATGCAGGTTACCACCCAGCTCCCAGGGCCTGCCTTGGCCACTCAAACACCTGGGAAGCTCTTTCTCAGGCAAAGTTAAGATCTGTGTCCATTCATCTGTTGCTTGTTCACCCTTGGGAACAGGGAAGTACAAACATCCTATGTGTGCAAGATGGTCTCCCAGCTATTTTATTTCAGTAATAAAATGCCTTTTCATGGATTTTATGTAAGACCACCACCAAGTTGAAAACAGGTGTGCACAAAAGGTCAAGCCAAGCTCTGCTCTTCTTGCAGTCATCCATGGCCAGAGTCACAGATGTGGCCTCCACACAGATGATGTATGGGACCGGGTTCCAAAGGTGGATGACATAGACCCTCCAATGCAACACTCTGTAGCCATAGGCTATCGTCAGGCAGCTGTTGTGATCCCAGACCACCATCTCCTGGGCACCCTCTGCAGACCTCTCCTGCAGACCCCTCCTGAGGGTAGAACAGAAACGGGCCCTTTTACCCATTATTGGACCCTCAAGTCCATGGCACAGGTCCAGCAGAAAAGGGATCCCAACAGCTGCTGGCTGAATTACATGCTCATTCCCTGGAACTCAGTTAATCCAACCCAATTTTCCCTTATGGTGTCCCTGGCACCTGTCCCTGCTTCTTACTCTTCACTAGGCAAGCTCAGGGCAGTTAGCTCTCACACCCAGCTGTTACCCACAAGCCTTTGTCCTGGCCACCTCCCTGACAATTCCAAGTTCACACTCTGTCTAGAATTCTCAGGGATCCCCCTTTTAGGATGAGGCGTAAAGGGTTTCCTGCTTCAGTTTTCCAGTAATCAGCTGAACCTACATTTCCAAGCATATTTACCACTATACCCACCACTGCCATAGAGCCAATTCAATTCTGACCATCTAGAACAGAGCGGAACCGCTCCTTTGGGTTTCTGAGGCAATAAATCTTTACAGAAAACCTAATCTTTCTCCCACCAGCTGCTGGTGAATTCGAACTCTTGACCTTGAGGTTACAATCTACTGTGCAACCCATTATGCCACCAGGGATCTTTCTCACTATGATTTCACCTAAATCCTGAAGTCCTAGTGTATGCTCTGCTCACTGCGTCCTCTGGGCCCCAAACCTCCACAGACATTAGAAACATCAAAGACTGAAGAAAACCATCTCTCTGTAGCACAGCAATGAGAGTAGCCCAAGTTTCCCCACATTATCCATCAAATAAAAAGTGGATCTGCACAGAGCTCAGGAATAAAATGAGACTACTCAGAGCCCAAGGTCACTGGGATCCTCCACACCATCACCCAATGGCCTGCTGGTTCTTATGTCCACGCTATGTATTGCCTTGGTGACCTCATTGGTGTGGGGTAAAGCTATACATTATTAGGCTCTTGAATGTGACAAGACTGTTAAAAGACAACTTTAGAAAGGTAGCCAGCAATGGTCCACAGACTGCCTAAGAGCCAAGTTTCCCTTATTTTTTTAAGTCTCTTCCTTCCATAATAAACCAGGCAGCACAACAGACAATGTCACAGGAGATGGGTATGGCTTGGGCTGCTCACCTTGAGATCCTTTCTGTGGTGGCACCTGCCCAGCCACCTTGGCTGCCTTTTTTTTAAAAAAAAAAAAACAACACATTTTATTAGGGGCTCATACAACTGTTATGCAATCCATACACCCATCAATTGTGTAAAGCGCATTTGTATATCATTCTCAAAACATTTTCTCTCCACTTAAACCCCTGGCATTAGGTCCTCATTTTTCCCCTCCCTCCCCGCTCCCCCCACCCTCATGAGCCCTTGATAGTTTATAAATTGGTATTTTGTCATATCTTGCCCTGTCCGACGTCTCCCTTCACCCACTTTTCGGTTGTCTGTCCCCGAGGGAGGAGATCACATATAGTTCCTTGTAATTGGTTCCCTCTTTCCTACCCATGCTCCCTTTACCCTCCCTGTTTTGCCACTCACACCACTGGTCCTGTGGGGCTCATCCACCCTGGATTCCCTGGATTTTCAGTTCCTATCTGTACCAATGTACATCCTCTGGTCTAGCCAGAGTTGCAAGGTTGAATTCGAGTCATGGTAGTGGGAGCGGGGAGGAAACATTTAGGAACTAGAGGAAAGTTGTATTTCTCATCGTTGTTACATCGCACCCTGACTGGCTCATCTCCTCCCCGAGACCCCTCTGCAAGGGGATCTCCAGTGGCCTACTAATGGACTTTGGATCTCCACTCCGCACTCCCCCCATCATTCACGTAAGATTTTTTTTGTTCTGATGATGCCTTATACCTGATCCCTTCGACACCTCATGGTTGCATAGGCTGGTATGCTTCTTCCATGTGGGCTTTGTTGCTTCTGAGCTAGATGGCCGCTTGTTTACCTTCAAGCTTTTAAGACCCCAGACGCTATACTTTTTGATAGCCGGGCACCATCAGCTTTCTTCACCACATTTGCTTATTCACCAGCTTTGTCTTCAGCGGTTGTGTCGAGAAGGTGAGCATCATAGAATGTCCTTGGCTGCCTTTTGTCTTTTTCACTTCATCTTGTCCTGTGACAACCCCGTTCACCCAGGATGGGCAGTCTTGTGCTCACTGGGGTAGCAGCAGAAAGATTCAGTTCACTCTGGAGCAACTCACTGACAAGTCTTTGAAACCCACCGGCTGTTCTCTACCCTAATTATCTAACCCTCAGGGGAAAAAAAAAAAGTTTTATTTCCTTAACTGGGTCTCTTATGAGTTGGTTTGAAGAACTCTCTAAAGGTTGGAGGGTCCTTGGAAGAAAGACCTGGTTAATGGCTTCTGATAACTGAGCCACAGAGATTCCTAGGAGCACAGTTCTACTCTGACATACATGAGGGTGCCATGAGTTGGAATCATCTTAATGGTAAGGGCTTTTTTTATGGTCATGTTTTAGTGGCCCAGTTGCAGTTTTAGGGCTATGTCCCGGCCACTCCCAGCCAGGGCTGGCCACTGTCAACCCCAGAGCACATCCATGCCTGCTCCTCCTGATACCCACAATCACACTTCTGAATCTTGAAATGGTCACCTGCATATCACCTGAACAATAGGTGTCACCCCTTTCTCCTTAATAGGCACAAAAACCAGTTTTATGCATTTAAAATTTTAAGCCATCACTCAACTCAATCCCAGAACTGGAAACACTCTACTGCTTTAAAAGGCAGCCCTGTGGTTACAAAACCTCCCAGCGAGCGTCCTCCAACAGCATCCCATCCCCACCAAGGTCTCCTATGATGAGCTTAGGGCTCCAAACGACCTAACTGAGGAAGGAAATCTGCCAGTGAGCCTTCCTAAATGATGAAGAACCAGAACATGTTCAAAGAAAGCAAAACAAACATCATGATGAGGAAGTAGCGTCAGGACCTTAGTGTGGTCACGATGGGCCAAGCAAACTCAGGAGGAAAGTCTCTAAGAGGGGGCAGGGCTGTGGCCCTACCCTGCTCTGTGGTCAGCCCTGGCAGGCCGCACCTCTTTCTCAGACTTCAGTATCTAGTTGACTAAATGAAGAGCTGTCCAGTACATCGTTAAGTCTGTGTGCTGGGATATCAGAACCAAGTGTAGAGGCTGTGTTACCTGCCAAAATGTCAACCTCAACTCAGGGCAGTTCCATGCACAATAAATCAAAATGCTGCTCAGTCCTATGCCACCTCCATGGTCAGCTGCATATTAGACTGTTGTCACCCACAGGGTTTCCACTGGCTAATTTTCAGAAGTATATCACCAGGCCTTTCTCCTAGTCCATCTTTACCTGGAAGCTCAGCTGAAATCTGTTCAAGTGACAACACACAAGTCTCCACTGACAGACACGTAGTGGCTGCACACAGAAGGACAACTGGCTGGGGCTCAAGGCTTGGCCTCCTGAATGCAGGGGATAATTCTACCCCTAAACCACTAATGCCCCTAGTAAAGAAAGTTAATCACAGTGAAACCTAAATGTGTCTACTGCTCAACTCTCAAAAATGTTTCTAAAGTCATATAACTGATAAACACAGGCAGACAAGAAGATTAAACTCATTGCATTCGTATCTATGCCCCAAACCAAGGAACCAAACTTAAAACCATCAAGTCAACCTTTGGACAGAGTGGAACTGGGCAAGTGGGTTTCCCAAACTATAAATTTTACCCGAGAAGAAAGCCTCATCTTTCTCCCACAGAGTAGCTAATGGGTTCGAACTACTTACCTTGGGGTTAGCAGCCCATCTCGTACCCCACTACATCATCAGGGCTCCATCTGTGCCCAAACAAGATCTCAACGCAGACAAATCCTAGCTCTCCCTAAATTTCAGTACCAGTCACAACATAAGCACAAAAAACATTACCAAAAGTGGTTTGGAAGAGCAAGCAAGAGACAGATGACCCATGTAGAATCTGTGAGAAGGGCAGTTAAACAAATAATCCATTAAATAAATAATCCACAGAAAATCCAAGAATTCTACCAGGGATCCAAATAACCTAAGAGATTCCCTAGTATTGATCTGACTACAGAATTTCTGAAAGAACCACCCTGTTTAAAAAGAGAAGGGGCACTGCCCTTTCATATGCAGAGAATAGAAATATATATGTGAGATTACAGAAAATACAGTTCAAGTGTTCCGTCAATGATAAACAAGTCCTAAGAATATAGTAAGTCTCCAATGACACAGTCAACTCAATCAGCACCTTCAAAACGACACTGTTCTACCTTATAGAGCAAGGGCAATGATTGTTTAGCAGAATCCTCACATTTCATGTGGGAAACCCAGGCTCCATTCTCAACCAATGCACATCATACACAGCTAACATAGGTCTGCCAGTGTGTTGTTGTGTGTTCCTATGATGCTAGGGCAGATTTAGCAGCACTTCCCAATTAAGACAGAGTGGGGAGAGGGAGGCCTGGCAATCAACTTCCAAAAATCAGCCAACAATAGTCCAACTCCTCAATGATCCTGGGATAGCCCAGAACCAGGCAACATTTCCTCCCATTGTGTGTGGAGTCACCATGAGTCAGGGTCAACTCAACAGCTACCACCTTAGAGAGTACTCTTCCAAAAGTTCCAACACTGAGCAACAGGAAAAATGTGCTTTCTCTGTTGTGAGTGTGAATAGTTTCACATCCACAAAACAAAATTTCAAGAGCTTGCTGGCAGAGTGAGCGTGCCCAAAACATCTCATTGCAGTCAAATCAACAGCTACTCATAGTGACCCTAACATGTCAGGGGAGAACTGCCCTTGTAGGTTTCTAAATCTTTAGAAAGTCTCATCTTTCTCCTGCGGAGCAACTGAAGGTTTCAAACTTTTGACCTTGGTGATAACCTATACTATACTATACTACCAGGGTTCTACTCAAAACATGCAGAGGGGTGGTGGTGGTGGTGGTAGTGTTACAGCTATAAAAATGTACCAACTAGGTGGAGGGAGAGTGGGTAGGAAAGAGGGAACCAATTGCATGGAACTGTGTGTGGCCTCCTCCCTGGGGGACGGACAACCGAAAAGTGAATGAAGGGAGAAGTCGGACAGGGCAAGATATGACAAAATACCCATTTGTAAACTATCAAGGGCTCATGCAGGAGGGGGGAGCGGGGAGGGAGGGGAAAAATGAGGACTTAATGTCGGGGGTTTAAATGGAGAGAAAATGTTTTGAGAAACGATGTACAAATGCGCTTTACACAATTGATGTGTGTATGGATTGGGATAACAGTTGTATGAGCCCCTAATAAAATGTTAAAAAAAAAAAATGTACCAACTAGAAACTCAATGACAGGAATGGATGCTGGAAACTGTTCCCCTCAAGGCCATGCTGAACGAACCACTAAAGAAAAGTGGGCTGAGTCTGATTAAACAGAAAGAAAGGTGGGCTGAGTCTGGCCACTGACACCAAGGCCAACTAAAAAGAACCATTGAAAATGTTAGAAATTTGTTTGGATTAAATAAGGGGGATGGATTCAAACAGTTCGTGGAAAGGTGGAATAAAAATACAACAGTTTTTCCATGAACTTCTTGTATGCAGGTGTCTTCATTTTCCTCCAGGTAAACCTGACTGTCCTTCTCGCTTGTGATCTCCTTACAGTGACGCCCAAAATTATCAGGCTATAGTGGGACTGTATCATAAAGAAAACTCCTCCTCAGCCTCAGTGTCTCCCTATGGCCCAGCTAGGGTTTTGGGGAGAAGCCCTTGGGAATATAGGTACAAGAGTGGGGGCTGGGATACTCTGACCACCTATGAACATTTCCCACTCATCTTCATAGCCACCCTGAAGCCAACAATACCACCCCCATTTCACAGATGACAACACTGAGATGGCCTGCCTAAAGCTGAATGAAGACTAAGGAAATGGTGGTCAGTGGCAAAACCTGTCTGCTGGCAAAGCCTCTCTACCCACCTACAAAGCCACATTGAGCTGTGATTCTCGAAAGAAGACCAGATTCAGGCTGGGCAAGGCACACAGTAAGGAACAGGCTTCCAAGCCCAGGCCAAGAGTCAGCTTTTGGCTACTCTTCTCAGTTCTCAAGGGCAGGACCCCACAACTGATCCAAATGATGAAAGGTGGTCTCAGGAAGTAAGGCATCAGTGCCAGCAAGCCAATAGTGAAAGAGGCTGACCCCTTCTCCAAGTAG